TTTGTTATTCTGTCAACCTGGTCACACAGAAACAGGACAAAATTAAAGAGAATATTCGCAAGTAGCAAGCCGCAACGAAAAGTGTGGTTAGTATAACTTTGACGTGATAAATGGCAGTTCGATGTTGACAGTTATAGTTTTTTTCTACCGACTGCGCATGATTTCGTACGAAACTTATTCCGAAACATTTTTTACGAGACAGACAGGATTGTAATTTGTAAACAAATTGGGAACTAAATTCACTAACGCATTTGCTCACAAAATTTGATACTAAGTTATGAACAAAATTTTGAATCATGACAGAGGGCCTTGATGTAGAGTTGTTCGGTGCTTTTACTCAAGTATAATACTGTGAATAAATAGTTATTGGATTAGTATATGTTAAGATATGCGGCACAGGTTGTGAGATACTTCACGTATTATCTATTGTGATTCTGATTAAAATATTGAATAAAATCGTTAAGTAGGTGGATTCTGCACTTCCCTCGCAACTACATAATCAGTTCATAAAGGATTATGACCATCCGCACGGATATCACGTATATTGAAAAGTGACATTATGCCGATTTTTTTTGACATTATGTTGGGTTTTTTTGGCATTATGTAGGTTTTCCTACAAGATGTTATCTTAGCACTTAGTTGTACGTGTTGCCTAAACGTCATGAGGCTTGTTATCAATCTTTGGCTCTGATGTTATGTAAAATCTGCTTTTGAGATGGCATTACTGGAGGTCTAAGCTATAAGTTGTATGTGTAGATGATAATTACATTGGGTTCTTGTCTCAAATACACTTAATTGAGATTCAAAGCTAGAAATTAGTTGCGCATCCACTTTTTCTTATCCATTCTGGAAATTGCATATACAAATTTGCTGAATTTAAAAAATGAGAGATAAGAAATAATTATATTCACTGTACACTGTCGAATTACCAGTCATATACTTGCTAACTGTAATTACACACAACGCGGGCGCGGTGATGATTTCCTGTAATTCTTCTCAGTTTTTCGAAATTTATAACTTTGAACATAACCTCTCTTCAGAAAACACAACAAAAATAATCCGTCGGGCGCAGCCAACAGATATACTTCATTGGCAGCATATTCAGTAATGATTTTCTCACACAGCAAATATCACTGATTTTATACACATTCAGACCAATACACATAAATCATGCAGATGCGAACTTGCTATTGAACCAACTTTCTTCTCAGAGATAAAAACTACAGACAAGGACCATTTGCCCTCACAAAACATATGTAAACAATAATGCGTGTAGTTTAGTTGAGTGATTCCTCCTTAGATGGACGTTCACAACGATCCTAGTGAGCAAACGTGGAATTACTGTTCGCTCCATAAAAACTACCTAGTTTGCAAGATGACATCTTATAGGTTTTTTTGACGTTTTATAGGTTTTTTACATAATATCCATGCCAGTAGTGGTAGTAGGAACAAACAGGTTTGATCAAGGAGTGAACCTGCTATTCTTAGTCTGTGCACTTTGTTTTTTTTATATGCGGGGTTTGTTTCCCATACGTTTATTTTCCCTGATTAGTTGCTGCGAGCAACGCAGATATCGGATATACCAGACATGCTGGCAGGGTGTTTCTTTTTGATCCCGCAAAACATTAGATTCCAAGCGAGTAGCATAGCATTTCTGTAGTGAGCTACAAACATACGTAAATAAAAAAAAATGGATCAAGTCCCCGTTTCTTGACGTTGACCATCTTTGTATAACTGAATGATCTTATTTTTCATATCGAAAGAAATTTCTGGACCACGTGGCATGGTCTTAAAATCACTCAACTTATTCCACAATACTTGATGAACACAAACTAATCCTCCTCTGACACGAAACTGTACTAAACTAATGTTGAAAAGAATTTGTCTATATATTTTTGTCCTTCATAGTTCCAGTTTTTTTCAATTAATTTGTTATTGAAGGGTGTCTAATGAATTTATTTATGTATAAGTATACTACAACGAATTATGTATACGAGTAGAGGTTGGTGTATTAATAAAACAAGTTTAAAAAGAAATACAGCACAATATTAATTTGTCTATATACTTTTGTCCATTACTGTATGTCTGATTAGGACGACTAGACCGTCACTTTAAGCATCATATTATTTAGAACAGGTTCTAAAAATGTTAGCACTCAATTTGCTCATACAATTATGTGCTAAATACTGTCTGTCTATCCTTAATTTTGTACGAATTTCAGTGTACTAAATTTAGGAGAAATTTCGTATCGTCAAGACTGCCTTAAGAAAACAAATCTCAAAGTGCAATAAGCTCGCTATGCAAATACCCTTACTTATTTTGGTTGGACCTGCGCCACACCTCATGTCAAATTCCATTGACCCGTTTGGGCTCTGGCTCGTAAAGTAGGTATTTCAAAGTTATTTTTCTTGTTAAAAAGAAGCCTATGTGCTATTTCAGACTAGGATCTACCTCTGTACCAAGTTTCATCGAGATCGGCAGGGGTATTTCGTAACTTGAAAAGTGACATTTTATCAGTTTTTTGACTATATGTTTTTTCACGTAATAACCCTGCCGTTCCCTCAAGTTGCATGTTTACATCAGATCAGATCACTTGAATCAACATCTCATCTTATTGCTTATGTAAATTCATCGTTTTTATTAAAACAGGACAACGGTAAAGTTTGATTTTTCTCTGCGCAATCTTCAATTTGTAACCGGATTTGAGTATATTTGCATCAGATGCTAACTAAAGTTTTTTAGCAATTCAAATTTGTCCTGTTTTGTGTCACACCAGACACCGTTGAAATTGCTATTAGGTCACACCACATGCCATCATAAAAAACGACCAGATTTCATCTAAAATCGTGGCTTAGGAACTGGGTGATAAAACGAATATCTGATAAATAAGCAGTGGAATTTCTTAACATTCGGTCAATTTAGAGACTTAAGGACCGTATCGTGAGTCTTTCCTACAAGAAATTGTAGGCCTCCTTGATTTTTAGTTTTCTACTCTTTCGTCTCAGCGCTCTATTTTGAGGTTATGTTACAAATATCTCTTTGCATTAAATTGTTAATGCTTTTGATTTATATCATCTATTATACGCCAGAAGTTTCCTACAATTCAAGAAGAAAACACGTTCAAGGGAGGATTTAAATTTTCATTTCGTACTAGGCACAGTTCTCATCACAAACTGTCCTTTCTTCTATACCTGCTGGCCGTATCTGTAACTGGGACGATTTGAGTTATTTGTGCTAAATATCAATAAAAAAATACAGAATGTGTTTGCTTCCGCGAATGACAGCGCAATCGCGCGATGTAAAAAACTGGAATATAGGCAACTGTTGCGCCCAACTGCTCTACTGGTTGCACGTTATTTTGCATTTTTTCATCATTGAAATGCTAAATAGATACGGCCAGTTAAGAAACAGTTTGTGATGAAAATATATAGACATATTTCACACATCATACATTTCCCTATATATTTGCCATTAAAACTTAAAATGTTAGCTTACACAGCACAATATTCAATGCACCTTTTGAAAGGAGGACGAATCATCTAGTAAAAAGGTGATATAATGTGGTCGCCAGGTTTGAGTTTCTATGACTTCTTTCTTTGGGATATCTAAAGGAAAACGCTCCTGGGCAAGAGAGCGAAATGGTATGAACTCCTCATTCCGAAATTAAAAACATTTTTCCAAACGGGAAAAGGATAACAAGTTCCTCAAAACTAATAAGATTTTGTTGGTGAAATATAATGGAAAACAAAAGTTCATTAGTCAAAAATAGCAATGTTTCTCGGTATTCAATATTCACAAACATCAGTGTATTGAATTTGGATTATAATAATAAGCGTAAAATTGATTTATTTGTTTTCGTTTCTTACAAAAGGTAATTTCATAAAAGCCACCCAGATTTTGAGGCTGTATAAACGTATTTGCACTAAACTCATATGACATTCAATTGATGGTTGGCAAAAGCACTGATTTCGTAGAAATGCTGGGAACACAGAAACATGGTTGTTTTCTAGTAGATTATGGTTGCAGCAACTCATTTTATATAATGGAATAACAAATCAATAGTCTTCTCAACCAAAGACAACGGTTGTTTTTTATACGAATTCATTATCAAAAATAGTCAGGACAAATTGGACAAAAATTAGTTACAAATATTTGAACTGGTTTACACCTGTACAATTAACTTTTTTGTTACCTTTGCAAAGAAGTTATTTATACTAGGTCACATTACTAAGTATTTTTATCGCAAAAATCTCAAAAATATAAAACTAACTTTATCTACAAGCAGAGTAGGGTAGTTTGTAAAGCGGAGTCACATTTATAGAAGCTCCTTGAGAATTCAGTGTCGTTAAAGGAATGATGTCTCCTTGGATCTCGTACAACATCAACGCTTCCGTGAACAACATTCAATAAAGTATTTCACTATAGGCTGTATCAGGCGTTCAAAACATGGAACATTACCTAAATTATCAATTTTACAATTTTTGTAAATTCTCAAAATCTAGAAAATTTTGAAAGTTTTGACATATAAGTTAAATCCCAGTTTTTAGCCTACCGGCTGTACGTGCTAAAGTAAATATAGCGCTATCTATCTAAAAATGAATTATGCTCATCGACAACGGGTACTGTTCTTATTTATTTGTTGCTAAAGCCTGGCACCGAAAATGAATAGAGCAGCAGAACATATCGCGCGCCACTGCTGTTCTCTTCCTTTCCGGTACACTAGTGACAAGTGCTGCAGCTACCGAGATTCAGTGATGTAGTACGGTGATTTCATTTAAGATCCGCTTAATGGCTATTATATATTTTTTACTACTTTATAGCCAATTGCAGATTTTACATGTATTGTATCTTTTTAGCTCGGCGTGTTAAAAGTCCGCGATGCTTCAAACGGTGTTGTGGTACAAAAACTCTGACTTTACGCTCTTGCAAGTTTAGTAATTGTAGTCCTTACTACAGTTGAATATTCCCCTGTTTTAAATAATATATTCTCTTTTGTTCCAGTCTGCGCCCTGTAGCCGCCTGCCGTACCTCCGGTGAGGCCACCGTCTTTTGGGGCGGTGGTGGGAGGCAGTGGTGGCCCCCCAGTGTCGCCGCTACTGCCATGCAATGCCCCCGCCCGGCCCATTCGCAGGCACCGTCCACACGCCGTCGATGCCCCGCCCTCCTTTTAGTCCTATTGGCTGCTGCGTCGTCCGTCACGCTCACTCGTCGTCGATGCCACGCCTTCGCTCTGCTGCTATTGGCTGTCGTGCCTGTAGGCGGAGTGACGGGAGTCACGCCTCCTCCAGACGACGAATACGGCGCCGTCGTCGACGGTGCAGGGTCCGCCTATCGAGGGGCGGGGCTACGCAGAGTCACCTCCCATCTCCTGGCGTACAACGAGCTCGATGCGACGGATTTGATGGCGGAGGCGGCGGGAAACGACGTATCTGCTGCTGGAGTTAACGGTATGTATAACAATCAAATAAAAATCCATCATTTTAGTATATATTATTCATTTTTTTCTCGATTAACACTTAAAATCACTACATTTGCGAAAGGGACATTATATTGGTTGTCGTATATACTATAACCTAAACATAAACTATCGTTCGTGATGTTTTTTACTTCCTTCTTAAATACCCTGAAATATCTAGTTGCCAGGCCTATAAGCTCGAAGTAACAGGCATCAAATTTTTGTTTTTTCAAGCGAAAAGCGTGCAGCGGTTTGGAGAGATCAAGCGATCAAATTTTTATTTTAAGAGAAATCAGTGACGTACCATGTATGTCTGCTAAAATAGGCAGGTGAAATTTTGTACGAATGCCACTGGTGGTACATTAAAAAATACCCCTTGATACATATTGCACACATTATAAAGTGGTTATTACAGATAATAAATGATTTATTTTTAAAAACTTACCACCCTATATCTCAAAAGTTAAGACGCTTAATTAGTAACAGTCTGTATTTCGGCACTGGGGAGCCTTAAGTAAAGGCAAGAATTTGATAATTGTTTTCCACTCTACGACAAAGTCACCTGCAAGTGAAAGTTAAAGTGTCAACTATTTTGGGAAAGAGAATATACGTATCTATAGTGAGTACCTACCTCAGAACTGTGAGGGCGTTGCTCAGTCAAGGGCGGAGCGATATCGTGACAAGGCCTTTTTGCTGATTTGCAGGTTCGTTAGAGGGCGGCACTTACGTCAAAGAGACGAATCTGTCAGTGGGCAACCTGAGGATGGAGCCGCTATACAAGAAGATGACCTTGAACGTGGGATATTTGACAGCTGTCAAGGGCGAGTTGAAGGAGAGACAAGGCCTGCAGATTTCGGGAGCTATCAGCATGGCGCTCAAAGAAGTTAGTATGTGAAAAATGATCCATGATATTGGAAGATAACGGACTCATTAATTTGTGGTATTTAATATTCTGGGTTTTGTTTTTTTTTGTAACACTCCTGGCGCCAATCTTCCCTAGACAGATTCCTCAATCCACCATATTGTTCTTGAACAGTATTTCTTAGTTTTTCGTTAATGTTCTCAAAAATGGCGTCAAGTAAATGGACTCTATACTTCCCACGCTTTCGAAACAATTTTCCATGTAGTGCAATGTCATCAAAAGGACGTAAGTTTTGTTAGAACCAATGATGCACTATTTGTGCTTTTCATGAAACAAAATCTCAAATTGCTTCAACGACCGTGCGCGTACACCGGAGCTTCATTTTTTGGGCAACATCCTGCAATTTTATAACTATTATTCCTTAACTATTATATTGGCTATTCCTCATTTTGTCACAGCAACAACACATATGGTAATGATTGTATAAAACAATAATAATTATAACAAGCGGTGATGTTTGCACAAGCAAAGCGAACCGACAGCAATTGGCATGCGAGCGACATGTAACGAAAACGTCGTGCATTCAAAAAGAGTTCGCTCTGCTTAGATAAATACAATTACACGATAACGTTATCAGCTTATTGAAAATCCTTTGTAAATATGCGAAGGGTAAAAAACATCTCGCGTCTCGCATATCTGGCTTCCATGTTCGTACGATTTTAAATTTCCTATCCATATCATATTTTAGACATCTCTGCGTCTTATAAGGCGTATTCTTTAATCCACCGGTTGAGCCACCGGTGCAAGCAATTAACCAATTTTTCTTTTAATTTCCGTCTGTGCACCAAACTTGTCGATAAACTTGTCCATATAGTTTATAGACAAGTTTGTTGTACAACCGGTCGATCAGACGGAAAATTTGGTTGCACCGGTGGCTCAACCGGTGAATTAAAAAATACGCCTATAGTCAATTTTATAATTTAAAGACAAATTTTTGACTATAGTAAAAGCCGAAACTGTATGACAATTATTAGAAAAATGCAAAACCTATGAGGTCTTATCAAAATTTTTATTTCGACGGCAACGCCTTCAAAAATCACATTCTGAATGTTTCCACTTGTTTCCATAACGGAATGCCAAAACTTACGTAACGCAACAAAATAAGTTTTGCACGCCCTGACCCTCTGCCATGAAAGTTAGGCTTCCGTCAAATGGAAGAAACATTGTCAGTTTGATATGAAAAGTATGGAAACACTCCATCGCTGTCCAAAATAAAAATTAATCTTATCTGTAGATCCCAGTATGAATGCGCTTTTTAGTTTTTGAAAATCGGTCTAGTGTCAGTTTAGCTAGGGGCAAAAATACTAAAAAAAAATCGCTAAACATTGGTTTCGGAATTTTTTGAGAGGTTATAAACGGACTAGGGGGTTATAAATGTAATGCATTCAGTATTAGTCAAAGACATGATTAAAAAGCCGCTGATCCCGGTAACAACGGAAAAATCAAAAGATAAAAGTCTGATGTACACCTATAATGTGCTCATAATCCGAAATAACTTTGCAATCCTTGGCATGGCGTGGACTGCGATGATACTTACCACTTTAGCGTTCTGCGATGCTTTTGTAAATGGTGACTTTTTATATCTGCACATACTCGTATATTTTTCTATTAATATTCTTCCGCCTAAAAGTTAATTTGTGTTACTCGGTCTATGATGGTTCGCTGAATATTTCGTCAAGTTTATAAAACATAGTTGACATGTTATAAAGGAATATTAAAAAAATATCTGTCTGGCATAATGGACGTTTTGGTGGAATCCCGAGAATATGCTTGGACAGTTAACGTGTTAAGCAACAGAAAACTTGTTAACCCATGTTCGAATATTATCGCGAGCTTAATACTTTCATCGTGTAGGTTGTCATAGATTTTGGAAATCAATTCAGAGGAAATAAAGTGTTACAACGTTTCAGAGATACCTGCTCATTTTCAGACATTGTTTGGAGGAGATGCAAATTGTAGGTTGGAAGCTGCATACGATGAATGGTTGTAAACTGTTGCATATTATATATATACAGGGTGTTCCATAATTATTGCGACAAAATGATAGGGGTTGTAGAGGGCATCAAAATGAACAATTTTGCCTTATAAACCCCTGTTCGGAAATATGCCGTTTGGGCTGCAGCAAAAAAAAATTCAGTTTCTTGAAACAGTTTACCTACAGTAATTGCTCAAAGTGTCCTCCACCTTGCTCAATACACAACTGTGCACGATTGTTCAATGATCCCCCGGTATGTCCTGAACATGTGCGGACGCGGCCATCACTCGGTTGGGAACAGGAGTTTCGTACACTAAAGCTTTCAGATGGCCCCAGAGAAAATAATCCAGTGGGGTCAGGTCGGGTGACCGCGCAGGCCAAGGCACAGGGCCACCTCGGCTTATCCACCTATTTGGAAATTTGTCGTCCAAATACTGCCGCACTTGTAAAGAAAAGTGGGCTGGAGCGCCATCGTGTTGAAACCACATGTTGGCTCTTATGTTCAGTGGCACATTTTCTAATAGTTCCGGTAGCATATGCTGTAAGAATCGACCATAAGCATGCCCAGCCAAACGTGGTGGAAGCAAATATGGTCCGATGATATGCTCGTCCACAATGCCGCACCAGATGTTAATTGAAAACTGATGTTGGTCTCTATGGATGGCTATGGCATGAGGGTTTTCTTCATCCCAAATGAGACTGTTACGGCTATTAAAATAAGCGTCCTTTGTAAAACAGGACTCGTCAGTGAACAAAACGTAGCGACCAAAGTTTGGTTGCCTCCTGCTGCAGCCACCATCGACAAAAACGTCGACGCGGCAGATAGTCTTCTGGACCCATGGCTTGGACTTTTAAAAGGTGGTATGGGTGTAGTTGCTGGTCATGGAGAACCCGCCAAACAGTAGTTTGAGACGCTCCCATATCATGTGCAATAGCACGCACGCTTGTACGCGGATTGGCCTCTACATGATGCAGAATCGCTTCCTCAAATTCTACTGTGGGCCTCGTGAAAGGCCGCCCTGCTCCCGCGAGGTGTCTGATGCTGCCACTGACACGAAGACGTCCATGAATCCTTGCAAAAATGGCGTGATGCGGATGACGACGTTCTGGAAAACGTTGGGCGTAGATTCGCGAGGCTCGTCTTCCATTACCACCAGCTTTTCCGTAAATTAAATGCATATCCGCAAGTTCCGCATAGGAATAACGCTGCATTTTAACACTAAGGTACTGTTATTTACTATCTAGTTTGACGCACCACTCAGATAAATTAAATGAATCGGTGTGGAGAATTTACGATAACAAAAATGTAAACACAGCAGGCTTTTTTTTACAAACCGGCGAGACCATGAAATGTGCTAGACGAACATTTTGCAGCTGGTGATTTTTTTGTTTCTCCTATGAGCTCTTAAGGTAAAATTAGCGGTAGTGCTCAAACGGCATATTTACGAACAGGGGTTTATAAGGCAAAATTGCATATTTTTATGCCCTCTACAACCCCTATCATTTTGTCGCAATAATTATGGAACACCCTGTATATATATATACAGGGTGACTTCGAAGTTGAGTCATTTATTTTAACAGTGAGTAGATCTGATCAAAAGAAATGTTTTTTTCCTTTACCATTTTTCTGGTAAAATTAAAGTAACAAAGTTATAGCCCTGTCTCAATAATGATATTATGTTCTCGTGTTTGGCAACAACAGATATAATCCGCCTTATCCGTTCATCGCATCGGAAACAAAAAAGCGAAAGAATTTGGAACGATCTTTTTACAATTATTTTCTTCAGTTGTATACAGTCAGTATCAGTCGGTAGTCGGTAACGCGTAAGTGAATAATCGTGTCTGTTGCGAGGCTCAAATCAAAAATGGCACATGTTTACGAAAATGCTGAACTTGTGGACATGGTTCTTATTTACGGGGAGTCTTTACAAAATGCTGCCGCGGCATCACGGATCTATGCGGATCGGTTTCCCAATCGAGTGCAACCAACCCCTCGTGCCTTTGTTAATGTAGTGCAAAGAGCTCGTGAATCAGGTGACTTAAGACCTCACAGAGGAGATCATGCCGGTGCTCCAAGACCACACGATCAAATAGAACTAGAAGAACAAATTTTAGAATTAGTAAGTGATGATCCAACAGTAAGCACCCGACAAATTTCAACTCAATTGGCGATTAGTCAGTATAAAACTTGGAAAACTCTACGTGAAAATCAGTTCTATCCGTTTCACATACAAAAAGTGCAGGCCTTACAACCGGAAGATCATGAACAAAGGGTTGACTTTTGCAATTGGCTTTTAAATAAACATCAAAATGATGACAATTTTTTAAATCAAATTTTAGTGAGTGATGAAGCCCTCTTTACTAGAAACGGAATTATTAATTCAGGTAATTCTCACGTTTGGGCTATTGAAAATCGCCATGAAATAAGGGAAACCAATTTTCAACAGCGATTTGAACCAATCAACCCGTGGGCGGGAATTGTTAATGGAATTTTAGTGGGGCCTTTTGAATTACCAAATCGCTTAACTGGTGAAAATTATTTTGATTTCTTGCAACACAATTTGCCTGGTTTACTGGAAGATGTGCCTTTAAATATTAGACAAAACATGTGGTTTTTACAAGATGGGGCACCACCCCATTATGCAAGAAATGTGCGTGAATTTTTAAATAGACAATTTAATAATCGTTGGATCGGCCGTGGCGGTTTTGTACCTTGGCCGCCAAGGTCTCCGGACTTAAATCCTTTAGACTTTTGTTTGTGGGGTTGGCTAAAAACTCTAGTGTATAAAACACCGGTTAATACACGCGAAGAATTACGTGCTCGAATTGAGGAAATGAGTACAGTGATCAGAAATCAACCAGTGATTTTATTGCGTGCTTGTAAAGAGACATGGCTAAGACGCGCCCAGCTGTGCGTCGAGCAAAACGGAAATCATTTCGAACAGTTTTTGTGACATGCTTTTGGGCGCACAGGTCCGCACTGAAA